TCCTGACTTCCTTCAGCGATAAATAGTGACGTGGAAGCATAGGCCAAATAGCCCCCTTCCTCCCCAGGTTGCTTTTGGTCATGATGTTTCATCACAGCAACGCTAACGCTCTCTAGAACACTTCTCACGCCCCACTACTCCTTCCTCCAACCCATCCTCTTTACAGGACTGCAGGGGTCTACGAAGCCAAAGTAAGAATAGAACCTAGGAGGCACTGCAGACAGAAGCAACCTCTGATTGCTGGGCGGCAGCAGCCTCTCCCCTCACCCACCCAGTTCAAAGGGGCTGCAAAGAAAACCCTGAAATGTGTACTTGTATGAGGAAGCAATTCAAGGAGTAGAGAGATTCTGTTTTTAACGTTTTGATTTTAATAATGCTCAGTTGTGGTTAAACCTCCTCAGCTTTCCCTTATTTAAAAAAAAAAAAAATCCAGAAGCCATATAACATACCCATTACTTCTTTACACAAATCTTATTAAGTACATCTTTTCAATTAATTTTCAGTTTTGTGCCAGGTGTGGGATACTTCACCTTGCGTTTCTGGTCAGGGTGGTCTGGAGATTCCTAAAACAACATAAGTAACTTCCACTGTTCTTGGTTGCCCACCAGAACTCGATGGTAAGACACCTTGGCTGAAAACACCACACGCTTTGGTCACAGACACGGAGAAATCAAGCTGGTATTGGCCCAAGCCATCCTCCCTGCAGTCTAGTTTTAATAGTACCAGGAGGTGTTATTCAGGCTGCTGAAGGGGAAAGTTTATTAACAGTATTACTTACCTGTGAACCACAATAAAGGCCAGCCTGACAAAGACATTCTCCCTGGTTGCATTAACGGTATAAATATTATGGGGATGACCAAAATCACTTCCTGAGTGGATTTATAGCCAGCTCCACAAGAGAAAACGTACGCTTGGTTCTGTAACTCTAACCAAGAATCCATGGCTGGGGAGCTCTCGAGTCCCAGAGGTAAACCTAATACTGTTGTTTTCCTAAATGGACATAGTATAAAATTGCCCTCTATACTGGCTATTTCAATGTGAACCTGGCGCAATCTACAGTAATTAGAGAGAAAAATGCTGCAATTGAGAAAATGCCTCCATAAGACCCGGATGTAAGAAATGTTCTTAATTAGTTATCAGTGGGGGAGGGCCTAGCCCACTGTGGGTGGTGCTATCCCTGGAGTGTGGTACTGGGTTCTGTAAGAAAGCAGGCTGGGCAGACCAAGGAAGCAAACCATTAGCATTCCTCCGTGGCCTCTGCATCAGCTCCTGCCTCCAGGTTCCTGCCCTGTTTGAGTTCCTGTCCTGATTTCCTTTTATGATGAACAGTGACATGGAAGTGTATGTCAATTTAACCCTCTCCTCCCCAAGTTGCTTTGGCCCTGGTGCTTCATCATAGCAAAAGTAACCCTAAGACACCCCTCTGTGCCCATAGATTAGTGTAGATCCTGGTCCACATCAGCTTCTTTATGTAGTGGACAGCAGTTACTCAAAAGACACACAAAAGTGATCAAACTGTGAAGAATAGGTGTCTACAGAGAGCTTAGTCATCTATTATAACATTCTCTACTCCCAAAACTCAGGAAACATAATGAGGATGGGATGAAAAATTTCTAAGAGCAACAGATCAGGGGGAAACTGTATTCTGGATATGATGGGACCACTGTATTCACAAACTCGCTAAAGCTGCAGTTGGCTTTCTAAGACAAGCCAGTCACCATTCCAGCACAGATCAGGGAGGGGCTCATGATAGATGATGGTTACTAAGGAAAAGCACATTTTCTGAGGCTAGGGTCCCTGGTAAGTTGATCACATAACACTGGACGCCCTCACAGCCATGCTGTGAACAGCACATTTTGGACCTGGTGTTTTGTTGTTGTTGTTTAAGTTGGGAGAGGAAAAGGTGGCATGTGAATCCAGGAGAAATTAAGAAATGTGGTTTGAGAATGATAAAAATACGTTGTATGTACGAAGTTCTCAAAAATTTAATGAAAATCCATTAAAAATATTACGTAAAGTTAATTTGAAGAGAAGTAACTAGGGCACAGCCTTCATAGCTCACTACTGGTGCTTTACACACCTGCACTGTCTCCCTCCCCTCCTTCACTTCCACAGAGTTAACCTGGATTCTGTATTAATCTTCAACATCTATATAGTAAAATATCAGTATATATACATACACACACACACACACACACACACACAACTATCAGAAGTTATGTGTTCTCTGTCCCTATTTACCATGTTTGGTTTTATCTGGTTTGATATTGATCTGTTTTTTATGCCTTTCTATAATTTGTTTTTGCTACTATGTTTTTACAATGCTGCCAGATTGATGAATATAAATGTATCACTTTTTCTGCTACTTTAAATTGCATTAGATGAAAAGAGTCATCCCTTTGTACTGTGACTGATCCTAGGCTGCCCCTATGGACACCGGCATCATAGGAGGTATTTGCATATAACCTATGCACTTTAAATCTTTTCTAAATTGCTTATAATACCCTTTAAATAATTATTCAGCTGCATTGTTTAGAAAACAGAAGTCTGCACAGCTGCCGGTGCCACTTTTCTACAAGTATCTTGGATCCCCATTTGGTAAAATCCTCCAACACAGAACTCTCAGCATGTGCGAGGGGAGGACAAGTGGGTCTCACGACTCCAGGCTCTGTTAATATCCTGTTTCCCTGTTGAGAACAATTCTACTACAAATGTTTTATTCTATATTCACTGGTCTACATACACAGCCACTTTTCTCTGGAGCTTATATGTAGTAGTGTGAATACAGGTGAACATACAAAGCCCAACTTAAGTAAGTCACTCCCACTTACCTTCCAAAGTGCTTTGCCTAATTTTTACTTTTTCATCAACTGGATTTTCCTAGAAAGACCTGGATATTGTGCAGGAAGCTTATTGAGGAAGGCCCCAGGAACAACTGTGAGGAACAAGGAACTCACGATTTAGATCCACCATCTTCCTTGATTACTTCTGAGGGGTAGGTTGTTTCCTTATAGTCTTAAACTTTTAATAATTCTTTGACAATTTCATGCACAAATACAAAATTTACCTTAATCATATGCATCCCTAATACCCCTCACACCCTTCCAGTCCCCAACACTGCCCCTCCCACCTTCAGGTGTTAATTGTTTTTTAATAACCTCCTGTCATACTGGCTACGTGCACATGGGCAGAACGCTTGTAAAGAAAATGGACTCGCCCACCCCCTCGGCCACCAATCACCAACAGCTGGTCAGCTCAGGGCGGAACCTGAAGAGCTCTTCCCTCATCCTCGCTGGACTTGTCTTTACCCTGTGCAGGAGCGAATGCTGTGAGCTCCAGGGCCATGACCATACTATGTCCAGAAGATGGCATTTCGGAGCATGTCTCTTCATCCTCTGGCTTATTCCTTCTGCTCCCCCTCGGACTGTTCCCTGAACTTTTCGGGGTTGGATACGGATGCCTCTGCTAGGACTGGCGCCCGTGGTCTCTTCTAAGCACATGGCCCTGTTTTGAGGCTTTACACTGCCATGTCTAGCTCCATTTTCTCTTTTACTTCATTTATTTTTTTCCTCTAATTTTTAATACAACTTGTCTTCTTTTACTAATCACCTTAGAAATTTTAGCTTGCTTATTTAATAGTTCAGGGAAGTGAAAATACATGCATGCGTGCATCCCTAGGAAATACAGGTTTGGGGATTTTCAGGTTAAGTCTATACATGGTTGCTTCTGGAGTTTTTCCAGCAATCTTTCCATTATCTAGGACATTTTTTTTCTTTTTCTGAACTTAATAGACATATTTGACCCTTCTCCTTTAACAAACTTTTATCACTTCCTTTTATATATATCCACCTCATTACTGACTTTCTGAAAAAGATTCTGTATGATTTTTCCCAATTCATTAATTCTCTTAGCTATATCTAATCTGCTAAATTCTGAATCTCAATGATTTTGGCTTACAAGACTCTCTTGCTTTTAAAAATTATTTATCTTATTCCATGTAATATTTTGAAGGCATCACCTATGTGATAAAATTCATTGTCTTAACTCAATTCAATAGGTTTTAGTATATTCAAAGAATTGGGTAACATCATCAGATCGAATTCTAGAATTATTTCATCACGCCAAATATAACCCTGTGGCACTAAACAGTCACTCCTCGTTGCCTTCCTGCCTCCTAACAAACTGCTAACACTTACATAAAGTCTGCAATATGCTTTAACACACACACACACACACACACACACACACACACACACACACACACCCCGATTTCCTGTGTCTGGCTTCTTATAATTAACATTGTTTTCAAGACTCAATCACACTGTAGCACATAACTCTACTTCATTTTTTAAATGTTAAGTAATAGTGCACAACTAAATCACAATCTTTTTATGCATTCATCAACTGGTGCTATTACTCTGGAGCTATTAGGAATAATGCTATAAATATTTATGTACAGGTTTCTATGGAAACATCTTCACTTCTCATGAGTGTATCCATAGGAAAGAAGTTGTGAGAATATATGGCAATTCTACATGGAACTTGAACCGCCAAAGATTTTTTGAAGCAGTTACATTATTTTAAATTCCTGTCAACAGCAGCAGTGTCTTCATATCCCTGGCAACACTCAATATCATCTATCTTGTTATTTTAGCCACCACAGCAGAGGTGAAGTAGCTCATATTTAAGTCTTTCTCTATGTCTTTGTTGCTGTTTGGTTTCGAGACAGGGTTTGTACCTGTATAGCCCTGGCTGTACTGGAACTCTTGCCTTGTAGACCAGGTTGGCCTCAAACTCAGAGATCCACCTGTCTCTGCCTCAAGTGCTACAGTGCCCATTAAAGTATCTCTGAAATAGGGAGAACCCAGTGTTCAATCAAAAGTATTCCTAGTTTCTCTTGTCCTCAAAAACCATGACATAAGCATGTAGCTGTTTTACGTGTTCTAACACAGCAGTCTTAAATGCCTGTTTTTCGTTCTGCATAAGAATCAACAGGAAGCTATAGGATAAAAACCGTGGCTTGACATTTCTTAAATTTATTGAATAATTTTTAGTTGGGAGAGGAAAGATCACAGGCATGAACAAGAGTAAAGAGAAAAGAACAATTAATTGCAAACTATTACAAAAGTAATTTCTGAAACATTTTTTTTGAGCCAGTGCTCAAACAAAACTTTAGTGCAATTTGAGGTTCCTATTTTGGCAAATGAACATTAAATTACTCAAGAGCAAAAAGAGGAGTTCGTATCACACAGTATAAGACCTTAGTGCACTAACTGCGCAAACTAAAATAAATGGCCACAATTATTCAAAGTTGCTTCTTGTAAATATTCATTAACTGAACAAAAATGCAGATTACTTTGAACACAGCACAAGTAACCAAAGGCAGCAAATCCAGCAACATTAGCATTAAATAGTATTCAAATCGTACAACTGATTGAAGTAAGAGTCTGAGCACTCCAGTTCTACCTACATGAAAGGAATGTACAGATGGCCACAATAAGTAAATAAAGTGGCAGGAGTGACCAGCACCTCGCCTGCTTGTCAGAGCAGGCGCACAGTGAACAGGTGCCTAGGGGGCTTGTGCTGAAAATGAGAAAAGCGCACTTGACTTGAGGAGGGCCCTTCCAATTCTCACAGACACTCCTTACTTTTCACGTGCTGGTGACGGGCAGACAGAATTTTAAAAGAAAAGCATTTTTTCCTACCCATCTGGACCCAACATATTTAAACTCTGTGTAAAGGTTTCTTTGATAAATTACAAAATGACACACTGATTAGGAACCTGTGACAAAGACGACTAGTGAAACAGCAGGCAGCCACGTGGCTCTGGATCAGATGATGAGGCCATGCACTCCCCAGTCAAGGCCGCCAGCTGTCAAATGGGTCAAACTATTTTTACCTTCTACACAGTGCACTTACTACAAAGAGCTTCCTACCAGCAACAGAAATTCTTTGTTAAGTAGATTATAACAGTATGAATTGAATTAATTCACATTGAGCATCGTTAGGGATGAACGAAGCGTTTCTCGAAAGTACAAAGAAACTACATGTGTTCACTGAAGGCCGATAAAATGTTAGAGCTGTGCATCATAAGGAGGCAGCCCATTTTTACTGCCAATTCTTATGTGGTCTTTTGGTAAAACACTCCTCCTGAATGAATCAGGAAATAATTTCCAAAATCAACATTAGTAACACATAAAATATATGTCATTTACACTCAGGGTAACACAGACATGAAAACTGCATTATTTCGGCATGAGATCATTCCAGCAGCTTCTCGGCAGAGGTCCCTCTCTTTCTGTCTGTGGATCACAGAATGCCTTTAAAATTGGCAAACCAAGAAATCAGTTCATTGTACATCACAACTTTAACAGTTTTGAGTAAAATATGTTTCATTAGAAGCAAAATGCACACAATGGCAGTATACAATGTTCCCATATAAATATGTCAAGAGACCTGTAATAAGATGAAGCTAGCCTCAACAGAGGTGCTCCAAAAACCAGACACGCAAGCAGATGGAGCACGCCTGGGAAACCACAACATCTTAAAGCAGCCTACTTTACACTGCACCCGGCCCACGGCACTGCGCCACACGCAAACACTTTCTGTAAGAAACCGTGGCCCATACTTCTGCCCCCCCCCCCCCCCCGCCAACACTTCTTCCTGTTCTCTGTGTTCCTGCACAGAGCTGATGCAAATGTGAGTTCTACTATTGTTGTTACAACTCGGGCCAACGCCCTTAACTGTTCTGTCACTAGGTGGCAGCTAAGCAAAGAACGCTGAGCACAGCGCAGCATCACCAAAATGCAGAGGAAACGGGAGCAGAGGGAAAGCTTGCCTCAAATGATTATACCATTAACAGAAAGACACCTAAGCAGCTTCAGCTTTATAAACCAACACACAGTCATTTCCACCGCAAAGAAATTCAGAACGGCTTTACTGTTAATCTAACCTATACATACATGCAAATTACACAGGTGCAGTGTGACAGTTCAAGTGTACTATAACCCTACAACTGCAGAACACAACATGGATGTAATTCCCTGCATTTCCCCACTCTGAAAAATACTTGAAGAACTTTAGAAAAATGTAGGTTAAAGGCTGTCCCTGTGAATCTATCTTAAATTGAGAAAAAGTAGAGTTTATAACATAATTTCAAAATACTTAGAATTGTTTCTGGAGTCAAAGCAAATAAGACATCTCTACACAAATACACTTTTCCATAATAATTACTAACTCAAATTAATGTAATACCCTGGTAGGTGCAATATCTTCTATTCATTGCAGTTTCTAGAAAAGTCAGAGCTTGGGGGAGGGGAGGAAGAAAATATAATGAAGTAAAATCAACAGCCCCACAAAAAAAAAAAAAAAGAAAAGAAAAAAAAATGATTTTCCCTAGATTCCAGAACTGTTCAGTGTAAGAACCCAACATCTACACATAAATCTTACAGACACAGCCTGGGTCATCTCACTCATAGCAACTTGCAGCCTCTAACACCACAACAGGGAATGTAGAGGCCAAAAAAGATCATGAGAGGGACTTCACAACATAGTCCAGATATATTTTATTGGGGTATAGGCACCTACTGTGCTAAAACAGCAATTCTCAACCTGTTGGTCACAACCTTTTGGAAGGTGAACAACCCTTTCACAGGGGTCACTTAAGACCATCAGAAAACACAGATATATTTACATTATAATTCATAAAATAGCAAATTCACAGTTATGAAGTAGCGATGAAATAATTTTATGGTTGGGGGTCACCCACAACATAAAGGGTCACAGAATTATAAGCTTGAGAACTACTATGCTAAAAGAAATTATTCTTGGTGAAGCAGGGTGTTTTTCTTCTTCATCTTCAAAAATCCAACACTGAAAATCACTATTAGAGTCCTCTGAGTGCATTTCTACATTAACTTTGAAATTTTCAATTTATTTTACAACCTGTCTTTTCATTTGTGGAAAAAATCAAAAGGACAAAATTCTTACTGTACAATACTTAGACATTTTATTTATTGTTAACAATGGTTTCTAACTAAGAAAACACTAAAAATAAACTAGTGAGAAGTTTAAGGTTATTCTCGCACACACTCTCTCTCTCACACAACACATTTCCCCCACCCCCATTTTTATTTCTCATTCCAGAACAATTGGCAGCATTAGCAAATCACTTGATGAAAGGCTAGGGAAATTCACTTCTGGTGTTCACAGAAACCTAAATCACTAATGAGTCTGCTAAGAAATTAAATGTCTGGGGAAATCTAGAAGTACCAATAGCTGAAGTAGGGAAATAAAACTGATCTGAAAGAATAGTACATAAAGATTACAAAGTTATCAGAAATAAATAAACAACAAGTATCAGCCTCCGTATCAGGTGCCAACTGTTTTCAAAGGGACAAAGTGATCACTTGGGCCAGGCCAGTGCCTCAGCCCTGTTTGCAGCAGCCCTGTATATATCCAAACACATGCTGTAGACAATGCCCCAGCCTCAGGGGAAGATCCCCCATTACAGATATTTTTCTCAGGGTAATAACACAAACACATGTACAAAAGAATAAGTAAAAAGAATACTCTGACAAAGATTACAAAAGTATGAACTATATACAGTGTGGTGACAGAAAGCACTTAAAAAGATTCTTTCTTCCCTCTCAATTCAATTAAAATGTTAATATTCTGCATCTGAATTTTATCCTAAACATGAGTCATCAGGTTCTTAACTTCCTAAAACAAACAATAAAATATACTGGTCTGGAGTTTGTTCTAGGCATTTTCCAAAAGCCAATCAAACAGTGACTTGCATCTTTCCTCACTTGAAGTTTTTTCCATCACTTCGTAGTATTTAAACACAGCCTGAAGGACATCTCCCACTTTCCATCCTCTCTCTTGTAATTGCTTTGAAAGCTAAGAAAGAAGGGTAACAGAAACATTAATGCAAGTTAACAGAAAACATTTTTTCAGCAACAAGGTTTTCGCTTTTATCTTCAGACAAAAATGGGAATCCTGCTGTTTACAATGAAATATTCTTACCCAGTTATGAGATCTGTTCCCAACCACCAGCCCTTTACACAAATTAAACATTTTCCTTTCTTGCCCATTATAAACACATCTCCACAGAATAACACTTCAGGATTGCTAGAAACAGAACACAAACCTTGGCAGTGGATGGTCTGTGTGGGAGTGCAGAGTCTGTCTACAGGAAATTCTTCACCTAACTAAATACATCTGCCACACCCTCAATTAGGAACAAAAAATAATAACGACAATGTCAAGCTTAATAAAAGGATGTGGACTTTCTTTCCACAACATATAGTGTGGTTTATATTCTGGAAAACACTCCAGCCTCAACGGAAACATGGCTTTCTAAGTTAAGAAATGTAATGCTTCAATGAAAAAGCAAGCAAAAGAGTAAACAGGGATTTAAACAAACTCTACCACAGCAAAACAGAACATGCATGGTCTTACTTTTCTGTCTACTCAATTTTGTAAGAATTCTTAAGTTGTAAAAGACCTGAAAAATAAATTCTGAAAAACTATTTTCCTGTAAATGTTCTTTTCTTTCAACAGCTTTGAGATATACCATGAATTTTAGTATATCAGTGGACTGAGGACAAGTTCCATACAATCAATACTGGATGCTCTCTCCTCACACCTGGAGGAAAGGCCTCCACATCAGAAGCCCCTCTCCATCCTCCCTCACACCTTCAGATAAAGCACTCATCTACTTGGAGCCTTACAGATTTGCCTATTTGGAGGCATTTCATAGAAATGGAATTGTGAACTCTGTGCATGGTTTTTTGGCTTAGCATAGTTATCTTGCGGGTTTATTATGGTAAAGGAAGGCTCAGTGCCTTACTACTTTCGACTAACCAACAAAGCTCATTCTCTCTCTATTCATTAGCTGATGGACAGATGGTGACTTCTTTTTGTTTTGTTCTAGTTTATCCGTTTGAGACAGGGTATGTATGTATGTATGTATGTATGTATGTATGTATGTATGTATGTA